AGACTCCGACTAAAAAAAAAAAAACAACAAAAAAAAGAATACTTCCAGGTCAAACCTATCTACTTTTCTTACCTTGAACAGCATAGCTCTAGATCAAGACTTTAGTAAAATATCATATTTTCATCAGTAATTAAATCAGATACGACTCCAGCAGAAGAGAGGCTTTAAGTCCAAGCACTTCGATTTGGATCCATATGGTCTATACCTTTATGGAGCTTCACATAACTAGGTATCACCTCAGTTCATATAATATGTCTCTTGCTGTTTAGTCAACTTGCAAAGTGACCAGAGAGGCAAGCTCCCTGAGAATCTTCCCATGCTGGAAAATTGCATCTCTATAGAATTGTCAATCACCTTCTCTAAACAAAGGAAGCCAAAGAAAATTTATCAGAGGGTGAGGAGTCCCTCCTGGAAATGAGGAAGTAGGCTGAGACATAGTGAGAGGAGGTCGTTATCCATAGAACAGCTACAAGGATTAGAACACAAGGAAAACAAGATGCTACAAGAGAACAAGACTGGGCCTTGTTGGAGGTGGACTAATTATGAGGCCTTTTAACAGCTCTCGAGGTTGATATAATACCTCAACACAGCAAACCTTTGTTGAAATATTCTTATCAATTGGAGTCTTCAAAGAAGAAAGGGCTGATCTTAGTCAACTGTTAGGTAAAGTGTGGCTGATCTATCAGCCAGTGGACAGTGAGGTTAAAAAGATATCATGGGAATTGAAAGCTGAAATGTTTGGCTGAATTCCTGTTTTCAAAATGATGTCAAGGTGAGGATATGTTTTGGCTTCAGAGGCACAAGAAGGTGTGTTTTATCATCTAAGCTGATTGACAGTGAACGTGTTTCTTGTGTTTCTTGTATAGCATTTCCCTCAAGGGTTATGTCAAGCAAGATCAGTGTTACTTTTTCTAACCCTAGAAGTGAAGGGAGTCATAAAATGATGGGTTGTGTTGATGGGTAAATAGGATACTAAGGTTGTCTAATGGTCTTTCCCCTATGGATTTTTTTTTTTTTTTTGAGTCCGAGTCTTACCTTGTTGTCCAGGCTGGAATGCAGTGGCATGCTCACGGCCACCACAGTCTCAACTTTCTGGGCTAGGCGATCCTTCCTCTTCAGCTTTCCAAGTAGCTGGAAATGTGCCACCATGCCCGGCTAATTTTTTGATTTATTGTAGTAATGAGGTCTCGCCACGTTGACCAGGCTGATCTTGAACCTGCAGGCTCAGGGAATGCTCTCACCTCTGTCTCTCAAAGTGCTGGGATTACAGGTGTGAGCCACTGTGCCCGGCCCCCTATGGATTTTGATTGTCTTTTATTCTAAGTGGCTGCTATTGAAAACTCTTCCCGTGCAGTCAGGTTCTTGGGGTGGGGGTAGTAGGTATCCCAGCTGCCAAACTTAGAAAGATTGGTCACTGAATATAGCACCAAGTGAGTCATTCTGGGGGGTTCCATTTTTCCAGATGGTTCTGAGACTGGATGCCCAATTCTGTGTAAGGAGTAAGTTGGTTTTTTTAGTGGTTCATTGTGCATCATGGATAGGTGTCTGGTAAGGGACATGACATTCTATGGGGCTGCCATGAGCAGTGAACTGTCCAGTATAGGAACACCAGAACTTTAGAGGCGACAAAACCTGGACACCAAAAGGGGTTTTCACTACCTTTGCTTAGAGGACAGGATTGATAATCTTATAGAGAAGCAATTTTTCAGTATGGGAAGACTCTCAGGGAGCTCACCTCTCTGGTCACTTGGTAAACTACCTAAATAGTGAGCGACATATTCTGACCTGACGTGGTACCAAGTTGTGTGAAGATCCATAAAGGTATAGACCATTACGGATCCAAATCAAGGTGCTTGGAACTAAAGGCTCTCTTCTGGTGAAGGCATTGTATCTGACTTAATTGCTGATGAAAATTGTATCTGACTTAATTGCTGACTTAATTGCTGATGCCTTGATCTAGAGCTGTGTTGTTCAGTATGGTAGCCAGGGATCACATGTGGCTATTCAAATCAACCGCCCAAAGAACATTTCAAGTGTTCAATGTTAGTATGGTAGCTAGTGGCTATCCTAAAAGACAGTGAAAATTCATGAAACATTTCCATCATTGTAGAATGTTTTACTGGGCAATGCTGATCTAGAAGATAAAGCAAAAGTCTTTAAAGGTATTTCTACCAAGAGACAATATCTTGATGGCTTGATTGACCATTAGGGGGCATATATACCTTTCATCAGCAAATAAGCATGAGATAATGAAATAAAAAAGGAGGAAACCTTAGAGTTTGGTGCGTATTGTAAAGGTTAATATTCTCAGGAAAGACAACTTTTGTTAGGAGATCATTAGGGATAATGGCCAGAGGTGGGAGCAGAACATGGGTGTTCTGAGCTTGGGGCTTTCCCTGGGTGAGAGAATGTGACCTGATTGGGCAGAAGGAAGTGGTCAAAGGCATTTTCGATACATACAAGAGGTGAGTGTGGTTTCCCGTATCTTGAATTTTCTGGAATTTCCCTTGGTTTCTGACCTCCTTACTTTCTCTGTGATTAAACTGGTAAAAATAGGTTAGGCCTCCTAAGAAAAACATGAATCATTACATCCCTTTCTGGCTTAAGTGATTCTTTAACACTGTCCTCAAAAGAAGAGTAATTCTTTTATTAGTCCTATTTTATGTGTCTCTAAAAGTTTTTTCCCCTCCTTTTTTTGGAGTTCGAGTTTCACTCCGTCGCCCAGGCTGGAGTGCAGTGGCATGCTGATGGCCACCGCAGCCTCGACCTGCTAGGCTCAGATGGTCCTTCCACCTCAGCCTTCCAAGTAGCTGGAACTACAGGCATGCGCCACCATGCCTGGCTATGTGTCTCTAAAAGCTTAAAAGGAATCAAGGAAAGGGAAATCAAATTTAGGGCAGACATACTGCTCACTCGTTTGGGGTGTTTCCTGTGGCTCGTAGTGTGGGGATGCATCTAAATCATTTTCAACAAAATTTGAAGAAACACTTGATTGCCTCCTTTCACCCAGGTCCTTTGAGAAAGACTGATGAACTGAGGAATTAAGAAGTGATGAAGCCTGCAGGCTCCATCTTTAGTGGGTGACAGGAAGCCAAAGAAAACAAATTTTTTTTTTTGAGTTGGAGTCTCACTCCATCACCCAGACTGGGGTGCAGTGGCACGCTCACAGCCACCCCAGTGACGACCTGCTGGTCTCTAGTGATCCCTCCGCCTCAGTCTTCCAAGTGACTGGAACTACAGGCACACACTACCACACCTGGCTAATTTTTTGACTTATTGTAGAGATGAGGTCTCGCCAAGTTGCCCGGGCTGGTCTCGAACCTGTGGGCTCAGGCAACCACTTGCCTCGGCCTCCCAAAGTGCCGGGACGACAGGTTGAGCCACCGAGCTTGCCAGCTAAAGAAAATTTATCAGAGGATAAGGTGTTCCTCATGGAAATTAGGAAGTAGGTTGAGACTTAGTAAGAGGAGGTCATTATTCATAGGACAGCTAGAAGTGTTACACAGAAGCAGCTGGCAGATAGAGCTGAGAGTTGTCTCTATTAATTTTTTCTGTTTTTTGACTTGGGGTCTCTAGTAGCTCTAAAAGGAGCTGCCTCCATTAACTGGAGAAATCTGGAGGGTGGCTCCAGCAAGTGAAGTCTCCAGGGCGGCACTTAGAACATGGGCGCTGGATCCTGTTTAATGTTGGATATTTCATCACCTCTCGCAAAAATAAAAGCTCTAATGCCCAACAAATGCCTGATGAATGAATCCTCAGGAAAGAAAATCATGCCGAATGCATAAATTCCTTTATTGAAAATATTGGGATAGCATGGCATTACATAGAGTCAATATCCATAAATGAAGTGTCGCACACTTCGGATTGGACAATACTGCTTTACATAGAGAACTCGGCATCTGGATAGGCTCCCACAAGTATAGCATTGTGGACTAAACTAGGTCAGAGCGAACTATATGCAATGCGACCATTTTATCTTTTCCATTTTATTAACAGCATATGGTTGCAAATGGCGTAAATGGTACATGTGATCATCATGAGACATTCCTGATATCTCACACCAACACATTATTTAACGAGCAGATCAGAGTTAAACTGTCAATATGTTGTTAATCAAGAGTATGAGAACTTGAGTGAAAACTACACCCAGGATACAGATTTAAAATGTTATAGCATTCACTCAAATTTGCGTGGAATGTGAATGGAGTACGATAATCATTGATCTGACTGGCGGCCACTGGACAATTTGTTCTCTTTTATAAATATTCTAAAACAGGTGAATAATGAAAAATTCTAAGGATTGTTTTTAAAACAAAGATATATAAATAGTATTTGTTATTAATTTTTCCTTTCAAAAACTACTGGGGAATTTAGGTGAAACCACTTCTCAGTTTTGGCTATTATTTGAAAAAATTTTTTTTCATTAGCAAGCAGTCTTTGGCTTTCATAGAAGTCTGGCAATCAATAATGTTGGTTAAGTTTTTAACAAGGCTTTATTATTATTTTTAATAAAAGATGTTTTATGATGCAAAAAGTAGGTTGATATTTTTAAAATAGGTTTTTGCTTTTATCTCAATTTTGGTACAAATGCATTTCTTTGCATTATCTTTTTCCTCTTTTATTTAAAGAGTCTAGAAATCAAGACAACCGGTCCAATTGGATATTTCTCACTTGATTTTTAAAAATGAAGAAGTTAAAACACTCAGTTCCTTTAAAACAGAGGCCTGCTCATTAATGTAAAAGCACGGGAAAGTTATGCAAAAAAATTATGAAAATAAAGTTTTTTGTTTTTAACACACATTTTAGAAGAAGCAAACCACTTTCTTTTTCAAAGCAGGGTTTACTCTAAATCTAGGTTCACAAAGGGATCCATTTCTATAAATATCAATGTGAGACTGTGAGAAATAGTGTATTCTTCTTTACACAAACATGTTCAAGGTGAAAGTAACTAAAAATATACCCTTTTATTGACTAAATGGAAAGCTGGCCTGCAATAGTCAAATCAATGAACATTAGTAATGAGTTTTTAAAAATTTGGAATTACACACTCATATATATGTATATATACATACACATACACACATATATATCTATATATCTACATATAGATTACGTATAGACTATATAGATATATAGATATATGCTGCTTAAGACATCACCCTAAACAATTAGGGCAAAAAAAAATTCAATATAAAACCATATAAATCAAACAGATTTGTTCCCAAAACGTAGCACAAAATGTATACATTTCTTTATTTCAAAATTTGACACATTAAAAAAAAAACTGCCCACACATTTCATACAATATGCTGAAAATAATAAATAAAACCTCTTTTTAAAAAATCATATATTCCCTTTAAGTGCTGTACACTTCCAATTTTTCTAAATGAGACTAACGTTTTCCATGGCAAACAGTAGCTGTACATTTTGGTAATGAAAATTATGCTGATAAATACACAAGGCATGTCTATATTTCCACAGTATCTTATTTTTTTCACAGTTACCAAAAATAAAAATTGCATTCAACTCATACATCTTATAAACACTCTGATTCCTCATGGTATGGATTTGAAAGAAGTGGAAGTACAAAGTCAACAATCTGAATTTCAAATTCTTCTTCAATATCTGCCCTCCACGGATACCTTCCAGCATCTTTCTGCAGTGTGATCATGCTCTGAAATGACGGCAGAAAGGAAGCATGAGGGTGGCACGTGGCAGCCTGGGCTGGGCTTCGTCTTCCAGCCAGCTGTAGGAGAACGGATCAAACCCAGTCTTTTTAATATGGTATTTTAAGGCAGTCTGAATTTCACTCGAATGTCCACACCTCTAGGTCCTGAACTATGAAGTCTTCCTTTTTGGAAAGAATATCATTGTTGAAAGTGCTGCAAGAGTTGCTTCGTCCGTGGTATAAATCAGCATCTAGCCATAAGCCAAATCGTCCCCTGAAAAGGTTAAAAGGGGGGGGGGGACACATTTAAATCTCATGTGGCATACTTTCTATCCTCTCTTGCCCCAGCCTCCTCTTTCCCTTATGCCACAGACAGGCAAAATTCTAAATGGCCTATAAAATCAAGGATCTATTTCTTTTATCAGTTAAATGACTGGTTAAAAGACCAGTCATAGCAGTTCCCCATTTAGACACATAAATAAATAACTCTCTCTTTGAGGCTTATTGTCATGTGGTAGGCCACTGTCCTACTTAATCTAAGCACACAGATTAGCTAAAAATCACCTGACGCCAAGGTTTTAGTTACCTGGCTCAAAACATACACATTCAGGTCACGTGATAAAACAACAACAACGATGACACCACCACCACTAACAGAAATCTTACCCTCCACCGCCAAGTTCTAAAGAACTTATATCTCCATTGATAAAATACGAGTTTTCTCCACTCCACTTAAAGACCTTGGGGAGGAAACACAAAACAGAGGTCATTTCAATCTGGAGAAATAGCAAAGAGGGAATACGAGATAGTATCACTGTCCAAAAGGGAACGACCCCATTGACTGAGGAAGCTCTTCCCTTACCAGAATGGGGGTTATGAACTCCCAAAGGGTTAGGAAGTAGGAAAGACCTTTCAGCCACGTGCTGGCTCTGACCAGCAACATCTCCCTGGATCCCAGACCGAGCAGCTCTGAAGACGGGGACCCTAAGCAGTTTGTGTGCTACAGTCGTGAAGAGGTGACCCAGGCTGGAGTGAGTCCAGATGAGGTTAAAGGTCAGCCACTGCCACGACGCCTGTTCCCACCACCCCCTCCCCTGCTGCTGACAGTATGACACTGAGAAGTTGGCTATTTCTCTCGTCTAGGTACCTTGAAGTTAGGGCTAAATGTGTAGAGAAAAGTTTCGCCTGTTCCATAGTAGTGGTCACTGAACTTGAACGGATGAGTTGCGTATGCTCCAAAAATCTGCCAAAAAAAACCAGAGATGAGACCCAAGTTCAAATTCAAACCTAAACCACCCAAAAAAAGGCTTTCTGAAATATTTTTGATACAACCTTGTTCTGAGATCTCATTATCCTTCTTTCAGCAAAGATTGTTACTGAATTGGAGCTCTTCAATAAAAAAAGACCATCAATAAAAGAATAAACAACATGTCCCCAGTTCTAATTGGAACCCAAGTGGCCGGGCTTCCTGGTGTATGGAAAATCCATCAGATGAAGCTCAGGGAACTTGTCTGTCAAAGGCCAACAATTTGTTTCAATTTTTAAAACCTTCCAAGTCCACTCCGAGGACAAATTCCATTAGTGAATACAGATGACATACTGGGAATATTTAGCAAGATGCATCTTACACACAGAAATGAGTGTCTGGGATGACAATCATGTCTCTTATGTGTTTCATAAGTGGAATCGTGGTGTTTCCCCAGAGAAAATAAACTTTCTTTCTTTTTGATTTGTAACAATGAGTTATCAGTGTTATTAATCAAAAATGTTATTACAACTATGTCCTTATCATTAATGATATGATATACCTTAGTTGGAAATGACTTTTAAGAAATAAATAACGGTTCCATAATACCATGGCATTGCAAGGTGATTTGGATATGTTTCCTCAATGATTTTACTTTCTCCTGTTGGGGGGGTTGGAAGGAGAGCCAAGTTATGCCAGGAGCAGCGTTTTCTTTATTTTATTTTATTTTTTTGAGTGGGAGTCTCACTTGTCACCCAGACTGGAGTGCAGTGGCTGCTCCCGGCCACCGCAGCCTTGACCTGCTGGGCTCCGGCGATTCTTCCGCCTCAGCTTTCCGAGTAGCTGGAACTACAGGTGCGCGCTACGCGTGGCTAATTTTTTTTTATTTATTGTAGAGATGAGGTCTCGCCAAGTTGCCCAGGCGGGTCTCGAACCCGCGGGCTCAGGTAATTCACTCACCTCAGCCTCCCAAAGGCACGGGATTACAGGCTGAGCCACCGAGCCCGGCAGAGCAGCATTTTCACAATGTGTGTGCCCGCGACCAGCATTCCGTCCTTCTGTTCAGTGGGCCAGTATTTGCAGGGGTGAAAGTACGTATTTCGAAAATGTCCCTAGGTGATTCAGATATATCTTCTACTCAAAATCCGACTTGAGAAACAATGCTTACATGGAAGTTATCTAAAAAAGTCTTATAATTTTTCAAAAATTGTTGTGGTTGGGTCACAGTGTCTGTGTGCTCTCTCCTTAACCAGTTACACTCAGTTCCTGACGACGTGCAAACATTAAGTATTAGGTAGGGTAGAAGTCTAGAAACTCTTCCTAACTGGTATTCTTCATGCTTCCTGCCTCCAACCCTTTCTCTAGAGCTGCTAAGAACAAAGAAACACAAAACAGTAATAAAACTTCAAAAATCATTTTCCCTTCTTTTGGTGATCTTTCAGTATAATAACTAAAATACAACTGAGCTGGGCTTGGTAGCTCAGCCTGTAATCCCGCACCTTTGGGAGGCTGAGGTGAGTGGATGGCCTGAGCCCGCGGGTTCGAGACCCACCTGGGCAGCGAGACCTCATCTCTATAATAAATCAAAAATCAGCCGGGCGTGGTAGTGCAGGCCTGTAATTCCGGCTACTCGGAAGGCTGAGGCAGAAGGATCGCTGGAGCCCAGCAGGTCGAGGCTGCGGTGGCCGGGAGCAGCCACTGCACTCCAGTCTGGGTGACAGAGTGAGACTTCAACTCAAAAAATAAATAAATAAATAAATAAAATACAACTGAGACGGGCATCTGCTTTTAAAAGCATGGTGCTAAAACATGACAAGGGCAATGGCCATCGGTGAAGGAGAGCGGTTTCCTTTCTGATCAATCAATGGGAAAGTCATCCTTACTCTCTCACCCTCCACAGAATTCTAAATAATTACTTTCTTAGCTAACATTTTCTTAGCAATCATGCACATCCACTTAAGGGCTAGAGACTGGATGAGATGAAGGAATTACTGTTAATTTTGTTAGGGCTGTAGTACTGTGATTACATAACAAAATGCCTGTTTTCTTTTTTCTATTAATTTATTTAGAAAGGAATTAAATAAAACTATGTGTGTATGTGAATATATGTATACATATATACATATACTGTTTAGCCGATACCATATACAAATGTCATACATTTAGCAATAATAGAACAGAAATCCACAGGAATAGATAAAGAACAACCAAAATGATAAAAGGCTGACAAAACACATAAATGTGTATTTCCTCCCTTTTTTCTCTCAACTTCTTTAAAAGATATAACATTGTATATAACAATGATCATAATAAGTTATAGTTGGGTTTGTAATATATACAGATTTAACACATATAACAATACTACCACAAAAAGTTGAAAGATGTAACCAAGCAATATGGGAGTCATATTTCTATACCTCGCTAGAATTATGTTCCTAATTAGGCTCTATTAATTGCCTGATGATTGCGCTATTGTCTTTAACAATTACTGGAGATATAAATGACGCCAGTCTGATTTAATTAAAATAGGCCCCTTCACAGGGGAAGTTTCTTTGGCCAGGCTATGAAGTTTATCCTGACTCTACCAAGGCCATCCTTAGCTGTCGCTTTTCCTACTTCTCTCTGGTGAACTCGATGGTCTGCAGTTAGCTTGTTGGTTTCATGACATAAACCTCCTTTTAAATGTTTACCACCAAAATTCTTACTGTTTTCTAGAGTGCCCTTTGGCTTGAACTTTCCCATACTTATGTAAATAAAGTCAGTTACTTTGGGTAGAGCTTTAGAGCTCTGTGTCATATGGTCTCCCTTTCCTTGCAGGAAAAATTTCTAACCCACTGTGTCGGAGCTAGGGGCTAGACAGTGGTAGCAGCCTCTGGTCTTGGCTTGCCTCGTTCATGTGAAACTTCTGCTCTATGAGCTGGAACAAGAGCAGTAGAGAACCCTGAATTCTTAGCTAGCCATGGCTAAGGCAGTACATTGTCCAATGAGTGGGGACTGGGTTGAGGAAAAGTGTCCTCTACTTCTAGGCCACACATGCCTGAATTTTAACCTCTGAAACACAGATCTCAGATGGGAGATAGGAAACGCTGGGCGCCTCCACCTAGAAGGGTATACTACAGCCCTCAACTGGCAGCTGTGGAGAGAGGGAGCACCAGCTTTCTGGTCATCTGTGCCCAGAATGGATCTGCCTTCAGTCTGAGTTGGGGCTTGGAGACAGGGGAAGATTGTGCTTTAAGTGTCGCAGAATCTCACTGTTATTACTGAGATTTATTAGATTTTTCTTACACAAATATTTCTTCACTTGCTTATGCCCTTAGGTCAATTTCCAGAGACTTTACGTGATTGTTTTTATAATTTCTACCAGTTATGTTTCTTCCGCTGGGGATTAATTCTGCAGAGCTCCTCACTGCTGCCATTCTACATATGCAATTTTTTAAAATTAGAATTGCATATAATTTATTTCCAGATACATAGACAGGGGTTGTTCTATCATGTTCTCAAACACAGCAAAAGCTACACTCTTCCTTGGGGGTAGATGAGCTGGGGAAAACAGTCAGTGTCTAGGTGTCCTGGAACAACACCAGAGGCCTCTAGGGTACGTGATTCAGCAAGACTCCACCCCCTGACAAGGGTGGAACCTTGAGTTGTAGACCTCCTTGACATATCTGACAAGAAGCCTGGTGAAACTGCTTCACATGCTCACCTGCTCCACGTGGACTCCCACGTTCCCCAACAAATTTGCTATCTTTGGCAAACACAAGAGCACTAACCTATCCTCATGGTGAGGTTTTCTGTGTGTGGTCTAAGATAACGTAGCCATACCTCATCCAAAACATGGCACCCAAACTCTCAAACATTTCACTAAATTCCTAAGTAATTCTAATTAAAGTCATTTTATTATTACTATCATTTTACTTTTTAATCTCTCAGTTCTACTCACTATTCAGCTTGGCTCATTACTAAACAAAATGTCACCAATCAGGACATAATAATAGTAACAATGACAATGGCTAGACTCCTCCCCAAAACTCTTAAGCTAAGAGTCGTGCACTAAAGTCACAGAGATCACGGTTGAAAGAGACTGTGATGATCTGAAACGAGAAAACAAACAAGCTGAGAAAGATGAAGTATTTGCTTCCCTCCAACGGCTCAAAAAAACCAACTCAGGGGCCGGGCGCGGTGGCTCAGCCTGTCGTCCCAGCACTTTGGGAGGCTGAGGCAAGAGGACTGCCTGAGCCCGGGGGTTCAAGACCAGCCTGGGCAACTTGGCGAGATCTCAACTCTACAATAAATCACACAAACTAGCCAGGCGTGGTGGCGCGCACTTAACTTCTCCCCTAATTTTTTCCGAGACAAGTGATGACAGTGAAATTCTATTTCCCCTAAAATTCTCCCACCTGTAGCTCATTGCAAGGTGGACTTACTGTCAACACCAAAGCTGCGCTTCACGGTGAGCTCCCCAGTGCTTAATAGTGCCTAGTACACAACAGCCACTCATTAGACATTTGCTGAATGGAAGAATAAATTAATGAATGGTTGTTGAGCAAAACCTGCTTCAACGCCAGAAAGTAGGAAAGGATGGCATCCCCATCTTAAAATCTTAGAGGAATCTATGACTATCATTATTTTTTTGAGTTGGAGTCTCACTCTTGTCGCCCAGGCTGGAGTGCAGTGGCATGCTCATGGCCACCACAACCTCAACTTGTTGGGCTCTGGCGATCCTTTGACCTCTGCCTTCCAAGCAGCTGGAACTACAGATGCAGGCCACCACGCCCGGCTAGTTTTTGTGATTTATCATAGACGAGGTCTCACCAAGTTGCCCAGGCTGGTCTCGAACCCATGGGCTCAGGCAATCCTCTTGCCTCGGTCTCCCAAAGTGCTGGGATTATAGGCTGAGCCACTGCACCCGGTTTAAGGAATTTATTCTTAATAGAACACAGATCAAACTGAAATAAGTTCACATGAGGCTTTCTTTTTGTGATGCAAGAGGCTGACTGAAGAGTGACCAAAAAAGCCCTAGACAGACTCCACTGGCACTCCAAGCTGATTTGAGGGATGCTGTCATGGTGTGGGGCAGATAAGGGAAACAATACCTACAACTATCATTGCCCTCAAGAAGACCAACTGCATCATGGTGAAGGTGCAGTCAGGTGTGGCAGAATGGCTTCTCCACTGTTTCTTAACAGCTGGATGCCTCAGGTTCAACACACCACCGCCCCGACTGGCACTCCGCCACAGCCATCATGCAGGCACGTACTACTTTGGCTACCTGGAAATAGCTCCCGTACAGCATTAAAACTCATTTCTGCAACTGTCTCCAAATCCAAATGTTTCTACCATTTTTCCAGCTTTAGGTTGTAGGATACCATTCTATTTTCCTACTCCAGGGTGAGCACGGGGGAAAAAAATTCCTTGGAAATATGCTCCTTTTTTTTTTTAAAGAGATGATTCTGGAATACATAGGGGTGAAATGCCATAATGATGAGATTTACTTCAAAAGACTTTCAGCCAAGAAAAAACAAGACCGGAAAAAAAGGAGAGATGAAGCACATGTGGCGAAATTCTGCTCACTGTGAATTCTGGATGATGGATGCTCACTGTGCTAGCCCATCTACTGTTGCGTAGGTTTGAAAAATCATCATTTAAAAATGTTTTTTATGAGAAGAACGGGCCTCACCTGATTATCCATGTCCTTGATGACCAATAGGACAGGACTGTCCAGCGATGCCGATTTCCGATAAAGCGTTTTCAAGCTGGTCCCATGCTCTAATGTGCTGTAGGCCAGTCTCCACGGATACCCTTGCACCCTTGCTGGAAGGCGTCGGGCCAGCTACAAATCCAGAGGAGGAGATGTAAGCAGATGGTTCACGCACACATCATTCACGAACGTGTGGCATAAAACACGTGCCTTGTGGCTCAGACCCAAAACCATATATTTACACATTGCTCCCTTTGACTCAGGCAAATATTTGCTACTATAAACCTAGGAAATCAATGCTTGACAATGTATATACCTCAGCAGGGATACTGTCCTGAGGATGTCTCCCCAACAAAGAACCTAACTATGGGTCCCCAGGCCACTATACATTTGAAGACGCAGATCAAACTGAATAAAGAGGTTTTAAGTAGATACACACTCTTCCTTCCCACTTCAGCTTGCCTTTTTTTTGAGTTGGAGTCTCACTCTTGTCGCCCAGGCTGGAGTGCAGTGGCATGCTCATGGCCACTGCAGCCTCAACCTGCTGGGCTTAGGCGATCCTTCCATCTCAGCCTTTCAAGTGGCTGAAACTTCAGATGCATGCCACCACACCCAGCTAGTTTTTGTGATTGATTGTACAAATGAGGTCTCGCCAGGTTGCCCAGGCTGGTCTCGAGAACCCCCCCGGCTCAGACAATCCTCTCGCCTAGGCCTCTCAAAGTGCTGGGATTACCCAGCCTCGGCTTGACTTTTATCAAGCAGTTCACATTTCTCCAATTGTTCTTTCTAAACTCTCATAGGTTTAGAGCTGCTGCTGACAATTGCAGCTTCCCACAGAAGTGAGACCAAAAAAACACGGGTGTTGAATGCTAGAAGTTCAGATTATCCTCACTGCACCTGTATCTTTCACCTACATCAAAATGTAGCTCAAACTTGGCTGCCATGATACCAACAGTATGGCTCTTCAAAACTATTACCAAACAAGGCTATGAAGTGCAATGTCTTCAGAGTGTTTAAAGACTTTTTTGGGGTCAGCATGAACCTCCTCTCTATAACTCTTTGGTCAAGTCTCGTGGCTTTCCTGGGGCTTCTTCACTGGCTCATTGTAAACCGAGGGAACTCAATTGAATGATTCTTTAAGGTCTTTAACATTCAGGTTTCTAAGCTAACTGATGAGGGAAACATTAAGAGACCCCTTCCTAAAGTTCAAATATGAGCACATAATAATACTATATAAAATTCAAGCAACAGATTTTTCAGAACAGATAGAGTACACAAAGAGAATTAGAGAAAAAGGAAAATTTTTCCTAGAGGCAAGAATTTTTCACAAAGCAAATAAAGCATATTTGCTATAATACTTTTATTGAGCCCTGTAAATTAAAGCCATTGGAACTCTGCCACCATCACCAGGATCCTTTTTTTTTCTTTTGAGTTGGAGTCTCACTCTATTGCCCAGACTGGAGTGCAGTGGCCGCTCCCGGCCACTGCAGCCTCGACTCGCTGGGCTGCGGTGATCCTTCCGCCTCAGCCTTCCGAGCAGCCGGAATTACAGGCTCGCGCTACCATGCCCGGCTGATTTTTTGATTTATTGTAGAGATGAGGTCTCGCCCAGTTGCCCAGGTGGGTCACGAACCCACGGCCTTAGGCAATCCACTCACCTCAGCCTCCCAAGGCGCGGGATTACAGGCTGAGCCACCGAGCCCAGCTCAGGATCCTTTTTAAGTACACTGGAACCATGGTCAGACACAAAATTTTTTTTTTCTTAAGGTAAGAAATAGCTTCTCTCCTTCAGGTTTGAGGGAAGGAAGTTGGTGCCGGCCCAACTCCTCACATTCCCAGAATGGCAGCTGGGAGGGCTACTGTGATTTTTCTGAGGCCAAGCAGGGGCCCCACCATGGGGAGGCTGGTGGCGTTTCCCCTTCCTCACGGGACTCGCCCGTCAGCCCGAGCGAGAAAAGCAAATACAGTTAGGAAGGGAGACGCTTGTGAAGGCCCTGCAGAGCCCATCCTCGTGGCCAGGCGAGCCCACCTGCTCTAGGTGCATGTTCTCCAAGAGCGCACTGTGGGGCCGAAGGACGGGCAGTGCCTCCTCGTCCTCATCTTCATAGTAGCTGCATGTGCTCTTTCTGCGCTTGGCCTCCTCGACGGTGATGATCTGAAACGAAAAAACAAACAAGCTGACAAAGATGACATATTTGCTTCCCTCCAACGGCTCAAAAAAACCAACTCAGGGGCCGGGCGCGGTGGCTCAGCCTGTCATCCCAGCACTTTGGGAGGCTGAGCCCAGGGGTTCGAGACCAGCCTGGGCAACTTGGCAAGATCTCGACTGTACAATAAATCACACAAACTAGCCAGGCGTGGTGGCGCACACCTGTAGCTCCAGCTACTTGGAAGGCTGAGGCGGGAAGGGTCGCCTGAGCCCAACAGGTTGAGGCTGCCGGTGGCCATAAATGTGCCACTGTATTCTAGCCTGGGCGACAGAGTAAGACTCCAACTAAAGCAAACAAACAAACAAACAAAAAACCACCTCAGGGACACAACTGCCTGAAAAGGTAGTGCTTCACAGCAGATCGACTGAACAGGACTTTGGGGGAATGGCTAGTTTTCCAAGTTCAGAACAAATGCAGGGTTTACGACAGTACATCTGTGGCATTTAATATGTTCACATTAAAGCCGTGAGCTTTCCAGGTTTCCTGTGCTGCAGACTGCTCAGTCGCTGTGTGAGAACATATGTAACTTCGCAAGCAGCTCATGCCTTGGAAATGCTCTGAATTATACCCCTTTAGCCATCATCTCCATCTGAACTGTCAAGGACAAATCAGAGAGCATTCAGTGAGTAAATCCTCTATAAACAGGGAGGTTGAATGATAAGGATAGCCTTCAATCAAAGTTCCTGGTATTTTCTCTTCAGGTGGTGCACATGGCAACCGATTCTGACAAAATGAACGAGAACAGCTACCAGAGCAACAATACAAAAAATGCACAGCGTTTTAATCTAAACTACAGCTCGATTACAATTCTTTAGGTACAGCTCAGATGATCAGTTTTCTTTCTTTCTAAACCAAGAGACATTACACTGCACGAAACTTTTGTTATTTAATTATAACTCTGCTTCTGAAGTATCAAAGTCCATTTTACCTTAAAATCCTACTGTTTGTCCTTCTCAAATTTTTGGCAAATCCCTGATTTATTTTGAAATTGAAGGATATCTATTAGGCACCTTGGTCTTTTGGCTAGGATCAAGTGAAGAACTGTATTAGACAACTAATTCAACAAAACTCCTGAGTATCAGTATGAATGACTTTTGTATCACAGAGAAATAAGACCTGAGTTAAATTTAGTGAAAGTTGTCAGATAATGTACTACTCAATTTCCAAAATGCCCAGTGACAGATACAAAGTACCGGATGCTGTCTGAGCCAGATTTAATGGCAAGAAAATTAAGCTTATAAATGTGGTCATCTTCTGGAACAGTGTTTCCACAGAGAAAGCACTATCAAAGAATCATAAACTCAGTGCTTTAAATGTATGAAATCATGTTTTTCACGAACTCTACATTTATCACGGGTTAAAACGAGGCCATGGAATGAGTCAAATCAAATACTGATTTCTGACTCCAAAGAGAAGAGGCACTCACTCCAGATACATCTCCATAACAAATAAATACCTGCTCAGGTTGAAATGCCAGCCCTAGCTTAATTAGAAGGAATTTCAAAACACTGAGCCATGACCACTGAGAATTCACCAGCACCTTATCTGCCCTCAGGGATGTGTCCGACATACCTTCACAAAAGGCTCTTGGTCAGGTCTGGCACAATAGAGAATCTGGATGTCCAAGGGCAATCTCCGGCCTCTCATGATGAGCAGTGAGGAGTGTGGCCTGCTCACTGATGAGGAACAAGTGTTTTCCCTATCTGCTCCACACCGCAGTTACTTGCAGCCACGCTGAGCTACAACTGTTTTTTCAGTATCTAGTTTCCTGCACGGTTGAGTTTCTGTTTCCCTTAGGAGGGAGTTCAACATTTCTACAGGAACACACCCAAATTAGGATTTAGAGCAAACACACTTCCTGCCAGGCATAGCTGTGAGGCTGTAAAATGATACTTTCACCTTTGAAACTGGTGGTTTCCCAATACCACAATGAAACCCCATTGTGTGTGTGTTTTTCTTTTTCTTCTTATACTTTTCTTCCCAACTGTCCTCTTGCCCTGCCTTTTCTAGCCCTGCACCTTCTTTAAGGTTAAACCCCCATCTAAAGTGGTCTGCGTGTTCCCTGGCACCACTTTCGATCCGAAAGGAAGGATGAGCAGACTCCTTTAACGGCAGTGGCTTCATTACAGTAAGAACAGTGGCGTTTCACCTCAATACCATGTCACGTTTGTCGGGGGTGAGGGATTTAAAAAATGGGACAGCATCGGGTTTATAGGAGACTGTGAAAGATATCCTTGCAGACGTAGTTTTACAAAAGAGCCAGGAAAGTCATATTCCCCTTTTTCCATTTTAGAATTAGTCTTAATGACTATAGGAATCATGGGTCCTCCTCTCCTCCTCAGATCAGATATCAGGGGGTTGGAAAGAAATGCAGATCACCCCTGGATCGATTTTCAGTGATCTCTCTGTGACTCTGAAGTGGCCTTTCAGGCTTGGGGACTGCTGAGGGGACCAGAGAGGTGTGTTGTTAGCTTTCCTGGGGGTTAGTTAGAGAGAGGACTCTGGCAGATACTCAGTGACCAGCTTCGGGCCAGCCAGGATTGGCTCTCAGGGCAAGAACCTGAGTACACACCGAGGCAGAATGCTGGCTAGACAGCACTCTCTCCTGGGCCTGGCACTTCGTGACAGCTGATGCTTACTGAGTGCTTCTGTATGACGGTGGGTGCCCGGTGTTTCGCCAGGCACAAAGCAGTCCAAGTCTCCAGAGGATAAGGAGACAGCAGAGAGACAATTATACACGAATGGCTACCGTTCCATGTGATACAGACGCTACAAGCTACAGCAGAAGAGGTGGGCGGTCTGCCTCCGAACTTGAGAGTTCTGAGGTGGCTCATTCACAGAGAAGATGGTGCCACAGGTGGGGAGCAGTTTCGGGGTTCAGCTCCATAGGTTCACAACGGCTGGAGAACAGGAAGCAAGGGAAGTGGAGATGAGGGAGGTGGATGAGACTGGATGGGAGTAAGAGTCGTGATAACAAAGGCCACGGAGGGCTTGATGCCACGAAGGGACTTAGGACGCCCTATAGGTCAGTGTTTCTGTAACCTGGCTGTTTTTCAAAATCATCTAGGAGCTTTACACAATGCAGATTCCAACATTCCTCCTCCAGACCTACTGGATTAGAGTCGCTAGTGATAAGGGTCTAGGATTCAGTTAAAAAAAAAAAATCCCCAGGTGTTTATTCTAATGATTAGCCAGTGGGTAACAATCACTATAGGTATGGGGGTGAGGAGGTACTAAAAGTTTTAAGTATGGAGTATCCTATCTTGCTCATGTCATATATAAGATCTTTTTTTCTTTTGAATTGGAGTCTCACTCTGTCGCCCAAGCTGGAGTGCAGTGGCACACTCATGGCCACCCCAGCATCAACCCGCTGGGCTCTGGCGATCCTTCCGCCTCAGTTTTCCCAGTAGTTGGAACTATAGGCATGCGCTACCATGCCTGGCTAATTTTTTCATTTACTGTAGAGACAAGGTCTCGCCAAGTTGCCCGGGCTGGTCTCGAATCCACGGGCTCAGGCAATCCACTTGTCTCGGTCTCCCAAAGTGCTGGGATGAAAGGCTAAGCCACTGAGCCTGGCCCATATATAAGGTCTTTTTACATGATGAAGAAAACATCAGAACCATTAAATAGGGCTGGGGAAAAAAACAGACTATTAAAAATATCATCTGACCATTGCCTTGCTAAGTTATGGTGTGGCCATGTGCTCTTTGAGCTATGGCCAGGTCCTGTTTCCTAGCTTTGGCCCCCTCCCCTACCTTGGGGAGGTGAATTTCCTCTTTCTCTCTCTAATTTACCTTTTAAATAAACTATACTTTCCAATCTAAAAATAAAAAATAAAAAAATTAAAATATCATCTACCATACATCAAAAATAAACTTTACATTGAGTAAAGAGTTCAAATTGATATGGCAGGGCTACTTCTACAGTAAAAGCATTAGAAGAAAAAACATTAATAAAAACCATAAACAAAATTTTAAAAACAGCAAACTAGGAAAAATCTGTAAAAAATACAAAAGGCAAAGAATTCAAATCCTTAATCATAAAAAACTTGAAGAATGTGATGAAACTATTAAGACTCCTGTAGAAAAATGGGCAAATGAAATGAGTGGACATCACAAAGAACAAACACACAAACACAAATGTCTAATATATACTTATATTCACCCTATCCTCAATAGTAACCAAGGAAATAAAATAATATATCGCAAACATTTTTTTTTTTTTTTGAGTTGGAGTCTCACTCTGCCACCCAGACTGGAGTGCAGTGGCCGCTCCCGGCCACCGCAGCCTCGACCTGCCGGGCTCCGGCGATCCTTCCGCCTCAGCCTTCCAAGTAGCCGGAACTACAGGTGTGCGCTACCACGCCCGGCTGATTTTTTGATTTGTTGTAGAGATGAGGTCTCACTGCCCAGGCGGGTCTCGAACCCGCAGGCTCAGGCAATCCACTCACCTCAGCCTCCCAAAGGCGCGGGATGACAGGCTGAGCCACCGAGCCTGACTGCAAACATTTTTTAGAAAGAAACAATAGCAATGATATTGTCTGTTGGCAGAAGCACAGTGAGAAGGATATTGCCCACATTGCTGGCAAGTTAACCTGGCATTATATAAAAAAATAGAAGCCTTAAAAAAAAAAAATCAGTACCATGTAACTTCACTTCCAGGAAACTAAGAGAATAATACAGGCTGCAGATCACCTGATCTTTGTGAAAAGGCTGAACTAACACAATGATTCCCAAAAGTGAGGCGTTGTTGAATTAATTATCCTAGAGATATCACTCTCAATGTGTCAGGTGAGAAAAGCCAGATACAAAATTATACTTAAACGTAATTCAGTTTTGCAAAAATGAAAGGCAAGACTCATACCCCACCACTACCTAGAAAATACCTTAAAACAAAATATTAATAGAAAAAGGGTTGAAGGAAATGTATAAAAGTTTTAAATGTT